CAAGGATTTTAAAGTTCTACTCAAGCACCATCGCTTGGCCACAGATCGTCACCGAACCACCGTCCGTCCACTAACCGTCGTTTGATCATTTCCCATCTGGTGGTCGTCGTCGGACCTCCGCCGGCTCACCAACCGTCACTGAACTACCGCCAATCCTCTGACCTTTGTAGGACTACCGCCCATCCGTCGACTGGTGCCAGACCACCGCTAGTATGTCAATCGCCATAGAACCTCCGCCCGACAACCTACTACCATCGGACTATGCCCATCCGCAAATCGCCAACTATTGTTGGACCTCAGCATGTTTGCAGAACGTTGAATACAGTTAGGCCTCCGCATGACCGTCGACCATCTCTATACCACCTCCCATCCGTCAATCACCATCAGACCTCTGCCCGACCTTCGACAGCTGTCAAACCTCCGCCCAGCTGCCATCGACACACCACATCGACCTTCATTGCCCACCGACTATCATCCTTCTGACCACCATTGCCCGAGTACGATATTCTGACCTCTATCGCCCTTCAATTGTGTTCCCTCTGGCCTCTATTGCCCACCGAGTATGGTCCCGTTTCGATCTACATTGCCCGTCAACTATGGTCCCTCTGACTTCCGTGGCCTGCCAACTACGGTCCTTACGAGCACCATCGCATGTTGCATAAGATGACTTCAACCGTCATCGCCCGCAGACTACGGCCCCTCCAATCCATCGTCACCCCCAAACTACAGTCCCTTTGACCTCCATCACCCGCCAACTATGATCCCTCTGACACTGTCGTTTGTTTACCGTCAACTACGGTCCCTCTAACCCTCATTGCCCCACCAACTACGGTCCCTATGACCCCATTCACCCATTGATTACGATCCTTCTAACCTCTGTCGCCTGCCAAGTACAGTCCCTCTGACCCAAATACGCCTGCCAACTACAGTCCCTCCGACCTTCATCACTTACCAACTATGATCCCTCATACCACCATCTCCCGCTGAATACAGTTCCCTCGACCCTCGTGCCAGTTGACTATGGTCCCTCTAACGTCTATCACCCACCCACTACAGCCCCTTCGACCCCCATCATCCTTTAACTGCAATTCCTCTGACCTCTGTCACCCATCGATAATAATCCCTCCAACCCCCGTTGCCCGTTGACTACGATTCCTCCGACCACTGTCGCCCGCCGACCACGGTCCCTCCGACCTCCCTCACATGCCGACTAAGGTCCCTCCGATCTCCGTCGCCCACAGACTACAGTCCCACCAACTACCGTCGCCTAACTTATAAGATCCTACCGACCAAACGAACATGCCCATACTCTCTTGAGAACAACTTCAATATCTCTAGATTCTCCCAACTCCCACCATGTAATGTGCTATATATGATGCATATTTGTTACATCGATCCAAGGCCTTCCCTCCTAGGAAGGACCTTATTAGTAATCAATAATAAACATTAGTATAATCATTTTAACTGGGTAAATCCCATGATTTTCTCTTTTTTTTTTTAATTTTTCACATAAAAACTTGATGTCTCTTATGACTATTACATCCCTCTCTCTTATCTATCTTTGTGTTGGATCTTCATACAAAATTTAAATGTTAAACTCTATATCTCTCTACTGCCGCAAATGTTTCAGAACCCAACATAACCATTAAAATTCTTAAATTAATAGACTCCAGCTCCAGACATTAATCTCTACTCAGTCATCCTGATATTTGTCAAACTCTCTCATTTAAGCAATCTCGATCCTATCCTATGTTTCTGCATTCTCTCGTTCGATTGTTTTTGAATGCTCATTTGCAAGTCTTCCTAGATTCTCACGTCTTGTAGATTATCATGTAAAGCTTTATACCGACATGATCTCTTAGAACTTCAGCGATAAACTGTCTGTTGTAATAATTCTAGAGAGAGAGAGAAGAAATATTGTCAAAATAACCAAATGTCCCTAGTAATAATTCTAGAGAGAGAAACAGAAAATTGCTAAAATGAGCAGAAGATTGTTTTTTTTATCAATATAGATGGGCAAAGCCCCTAATTTTCCCAAAAAAAAGTCATCCTGATATTTGTCAAACTCTCCCATTTAAGCAATCTCGATCCTATCCTATGTTTCTGCATTCTCTGGTCCGATTGTTTTTGAATGCTCATTTGCAAGTCTTCCTAGATTCTCACGTCTTGTAGATTATCATGTAAAGCTTTATACCGACATGATCTCTTAGAACTTCAGCGATAAACTGTCTGTTGTAATAATTCTAGAGAGAGAGAGAAGAAATATTGTCAAAATAACCAAATGTCCCTAGTAATAATTCTAGAGAGAGAAACAGAAAATTGCTAAAATGAGCAGAAGATTGACTCACGGCTTCTTTGTCCCTGTTGCTGAACTGCAGAGAAATGGCCCCACCGTCACTATTATTTAATTTTTGATCTTATCTCCTTCCTTGCTACTTTGTTCTGTAAACTATATTTAAGGATATAAAAGAGTTGAGTTCTTATTTAATCGAATAAAGCTCGTTAAATTTATATTGAGCTCAAGCTCGACTTAAAATATGAGGTTTAAGTTCAGCTCAAATACTTAAGGGGTTTTGTTTGGAACAGTTTTTTTATTGTTTCTGAAGCAACTTATAAGTACAAAATTTTTAATTTTTGTGCTAAAAAATTATTTTAAGAAGCAGTAAGAAAGCCATCCCAAACGAATCCTTAAGCTCGATAAAAAAGCTCGAGTCTAATTCAATTTGGAGCTCAATTTCTTATTTTAAAACTGCTCAAAAGTAATAAATTAGGCTAAATATGAAAGTCTAAGTGTTAATTAATATTTATCGAGCCGGCTCCACAATTAAATAAGCAAAGTCGGGCCACCCCAAGCTCATATAACAAATGACTCGAATTTAACTCGAACTCGTTGCTCGATATGCTTAACTCGTGAACTACTTAATGAGTTGAGTTAGAGTTGACTCACGAGCTGGTTTAGATAACTTACACCCCAAAATTATATCGTGATATAGTAAGTCACGCATAAATGTTAATTAATTAAATAATTTTTTTTAATTGAAATGGCATTATTTGACCATTAATGCATCAGGGCAACTTTAATGACTGTTTGATTTCACATTCCTAGAGGTGTCAATTTCGGCTCATGGGTCGAACTCGAAACTGACCCGGCACTATTCGGGTTCGGGTTGACCCGACCCGTTTTTGCAAACAGATCGATTTTCTGGACCCGAACCCGACCCTCTTCAGGTTCGGGTCAACCCGACCCAACCCGCGGGACGCGACACTGCCCGGCTGCAGCGGGAGCTGGTCGTGCGACGCAGCGGAAGCCGGACTCGCATGACTACGGGAGAGGGACTCGCACGACTGTGGGACGCGGAATTGACGCCAGAAACTACCCAACGGCAGCAGTGGGCAGTCAACAGTGCCGCAGTGGGATGCGTGACAGCAGAAGCTGGTGGAAATGGGAGCGGGACGGGCAACGCAACAAACCTGACCCGGACGTGACGCGACGCAGACCTGATGTCGGATGTGACGCTACGCTACGCAACGGGGCGGGTCATTCCGGGTCATTCCCAGGTTCCCGGGTCAACCCGAACCCGGCCCGCTTCGGGTTCGGGTCAACCCAAACCCGAAATTTTCGGGTCGGATTTTCAAGTCGGGTCCAATATTGACAGCTCTACACATTCCCTTATAGTGCTCATATAGACATCACATAACATAACTTTGATCTATTAGATATTTAAGCCCATACTAACAATTAGAGAACAGCAAAAGCTCTTTTTTAAAATCCGATAATGATGGTTTAACCTTTCCCCATTATGGAATTAATTAACCATTTTAATGCTTAAAAAAGATTCCACTATTTATCTAAAGTTCCATACAAAAGTGTAATATCGCCATCAGCTACGGCTAATTAGGCACATGTCTGGTTATTGAAGAATTTAGTTCATTAAAATAAGGAATCTCAGGCCAAGACTTCCAATTTGGTAGGCTAATTGCATATTTTCTTAATATAAAAAAAAAATATATTATCATTTTGATAACAACAAAAAAAAACTCAGTGACAGGATTAATCAGAAAATTTTATTTTCATAAATGCAAAAAATAAAATAAAATAAAAATCATTGAAGTGTGGCTACTTAGCTTTGACAGAGGCCATAAGAATCCATGAAACTCAGAATAAACTCTTAAGGGAGGTGGATTCTTTTTCGCCTCTTTAATGGATTTCTTAATATTATTATTTTTCTGGTAAGCAGGCCTCATGCCTTTCCTGCTTCTTTCCTCTCTTTTCTCTTCTCTTTTCCTAGCCTTGAGCTATTGATTCTCCTATCAGGTCCTAATCCTAGAAGAGGAGAAATTATTCTGTTCAGAGATCGGACACAGAATGCCGTCCGGAGACCAATCCGACTGCGTCACGTCAGCAGTATCGAGCAAGGGGTACGTGGCGCATTCTAGTTGGTCTCCGGATGACGTTCGGCGTCTGCACAGAATAATTAACCCTAGAAAAGAAATTTGGGAGCAAAATTAGCGAGTATGGAATTGAAAATAAAAAAATAATAATAAAAAATAATAAATAAATGATTATTCCACCATGGAAATTTCCATTTGGAGAAGATTTCTAGCTACTAACAGCAACAGGAAGGAGCAAAAAGTAAGAAGAAATTGGTAGTCTTATTCAAAGGTTCTATGCAAGCATCCAAACTCTTCCAGTAATGCCCAACTTTTCCACACTAAGATTGAGTGCAATAAAGAGGAATCTAAAGAACTGTATAGTTCAAAGGTAAATGTTGAATTGAAAGGCAGAAAGTGTTCAGAAATAGTAAGGCGTGTTGAACCTATACATCATGATCTCAAACAAAACCCAATAAAAAATGTAGAAATCAATAATTGTTCAAAAGTAAAAAACTCATTAGTCTATTTGGCAAATATTCCTGCATGAACTGAAGACAGTAACTTATAATAAGGAGGTTTAATAACAAAAATCTCACAAGTGTTATTCACATTATATGACCAAAGTGTGAACAACAACAGGATAATTTATGAAGTATCAACAAAAATTATATATAAGTTCAAACAATTAAAAGCAAGGGCACAAGATATATAATCAGGTAACCAGACCTCTTCCAAGCACAAGAGATTCTATGAACAAGACAATGTGAGAATGACATCGATATTGACTCGATAACTAAAACAAGCTGCAACTAAACACTTACATAGAAGCCTGGTTGAATAGCTTCACTGGACTATCTAAAAAGACTCTCAGAAGCACATTCTGAAAGCTACATGAAGAGAGAAAGAAAAACCAAAGAAAGAAGACGAAATAGGTCACCTGAATCCTGCTTAAGTGTTTTGGAAAAAGATTTTACCCAATGGATTCCCTGTTATAAGCACGGAAGATTTATTTCAGAAAAACCATCCTGATCCATTTTGACTTTGCAGGGACTGCACCATTCCTCTAGGCAATGAATCTGCAAAGTCCATTGATTGCATGGTGAAAGGTGATTCAAATTTCAATTCATTATTGATATTATTCGATTGAGCCGGGTGATAAGCCTGGTTCATCTGCATCAGATCATCATGGAAAGGAAAGAACTGTGAATTGTTTGCTCCTTCGAAGAGATCGCCACAAACTCCATTCATCGAGCCATAGAAGTTGCTTCCAGCTTGAGCCGGTGCATGAATAGAACCCGGGTTCGGCTCCTCATTGGCCAAGCCTATCTCGCTGTTAATATTGCCATCGTACTGATTCATCAGCTCGATGATCGACTTCTGTCCATCATCCGGAAGGCCTATGCCCGATAAGTCGAAAGGACTCGACGTGTTGATAACTGTGGATTGCAAGACACTCTGATTCAACTTAGACTGTGCAAGTGAAGCACAGATGGTCTGGGGCTTGCTCTCATTCACCTGAAAACCAGTCGCACAGAAACTAGGAAGACTTGTTGGGTAGCCGGAGAGGTATTGTTGATTGTTGGATCTCACGCCTCTATCCATGACCCCAATCTCATAATCGCTACGAGCGAATTTAGACTTTTCGTTACGGATAATGATGCCTTGATTTGACATAATTTCAGGCTCAGAATTTGCAGACCGTTTTCTGATAAACTCCCTGTAACCTTCTTCCTTAACAGCATGGTGTGGCCCCATATAGAGGTCATTTCCTGAGGATGTGCTGGTGTTGAAAACATTGTTGACATCCAGTACTGGATTTGTGTTACCAGCCTCCTCACTTTTTCCATCATCAACCCCTTCAACATCATATTCACTGCTGCTGCTGCTGAATGAGATGGTTCCATTGCAATTATTTCCTGAAGATGGCGGTAGACAGGCATCAGGATGAAGCTCCCTGAACAGGATCTCCTCCTGTTTAACAACAGCTAGCCAGGTTGCACTCTCCTTGGCAGTCATCTTGTCCTGAAGGCACTTTGACTGCCGCACCAGCCTACGAATCTTGTCAATATCTGGAGACATGTGCTTGATGACAGCAGTCAGTACTCCAACCTTCCAAGCCTTCTTGAGATCATGAGGTTTCTTATATGGAGGAGGCAGCTGGTCATTGGTAATACCCAGCTGAGGCCACCACTCCTCATTTCCTGTTGGCCACCATGGCGGTGAGATGCCCTTCTCCAACGGAAACCGACGTTGAGGTGGGTCACAATGTTGCATCAAAGCAGATAAGAGTGATCCCAACGTGGTGTCCTGAAGCTCTTGCAAAGAGTAGGGGCTGACAGGCCTGGAGTTTTGCTCACTGTTAAGGCCCCTGATCCCATTGTCAGCCTGGTATTTGGCAATTGCTGCAGGCCCATTACGATCGAACCTTACCTTCTCCTTCCACCAGCCACGCAGATTATCGGAAGCACCGCTCACAGGTTTTCCCTTCTCTGGTATGATTCCATATACGAATCCCTGAGCTTTACAAACTTCCATCATCTTCAGCATGTATTTGAGTATGCCATCCTGTGCTCGGGACATCTTTTTCCTCCTGGCTTGCTCCTGAGACTGGCGCTGCTTCGTGGAATCGCCAAGCTCCTTGTTCTTGTTCTGCTGCTGTTCTTTTAGACGTTTTAGCCTCAGCCTATCCCTCCACATACGACGCTCTAGCTCTTCCACATCCAGGTCATCATCACTCTCATCATCATCAGGCAAGGATTCTGGAAAGTTTTCCGGTGGCGGGTCCACCAGATCACCATCAATTACAGAAGAATCACCACAGGCAGTGTGTTGAAGATGGCTGAGGTCAGAAGGAGGCTTTTGCAGTATCGAGAGGTAACCACTACTTTTTTCATGGCCAATGGACATGAATTGGCCAAAATCTAAGCCACCAGAGAACGTCATGGCTGCTTCAATAGCGATCCCACCCATGAAGTCCAAACACAACAGCAGATTAAGAAAATATAGATTGTGGTTTAAGCTTGAAAAATAGAGTAACAAAACGGCCTGCAACATGAAGTCGAATCATCATTAAACAAGCGAAGTTAATAAAAATGCAACAACAATGATTGCCTAAACAAAATAAATAAAGCATTTTTTCTTTCTGGCTTGAATGCCTATAGGGAAGGAACTTAACATAAAAATAGAACAATAATAACATGGATTACTGCACTTCCATGCCTGACAAAGAAAATTTGCGTTATTGAAAAACTAATATTCATATAAATCAAAACAAAGAAAACTGAAGAATTAAGAAAGCCATTTCTACATGCAACTTAGCACTGGCTATAATAAACTTCAAAATCTTCAGCTTCGAAAGAAGATCCTAATGCCTGCAAATTTGGCTATAATCTTTTCTTAATAATAGGACAAACATAATATGCTAAGGAAAAGAAAAAATGTAGAACTGGCAAAACTAATCCTAATGAGAGAAAAAGAAAAAAGAAAAAGAGAGAATTTTTGGGCTGCTTCCTCATGCAGCAAAAAAAAAGAGGCTAATTTTCCAATAGCCCATAATTAACGATTGTTTGGCTATACAAAATTCGGATTTAGAATCCTAAAATTTATTTAGCACAACAATTACTAAATCTCCTGAATCCAAATAAATTGGCTGGTTCTCATTGAGTTTTCATGGAGATAGTGTAGTAGTCGACACCAATAAAATCATCCTTGTTACCATCATCATCTTCATCAACCCATTAGCAAGCCAGTCGAGCCTCCACCACCACCCTCCCCCTCCTTCCACCTAAATCCCCAATTCACAACTATGCCTTCCTTTCTTGCATCTTCGACCACAATCACAACAACAAGAATATCCTCAACGAGCTCCCATCGCACTCGACTGCCTCAGCCTCACCATCGACCTCGATGATCTATATTTTGGGGCTCAACTTTTATAATTTCTAAGGTCTGCATCATGCACTTGGTCATTATGAGACAGGAGAAATACACAATGAAAACGGTGAGAAAGCTTGGAAGTTAAATCCAGCTCCACACATAATTTACAAAATCCTAGATTTAATGAATAACAGAGGTAAAACAACATTTACAAAGTCATAGGATTTAAGGATGCCAAAAAAATGACAGGATTTAGATTTAAGCTAAATCCTACCTAAATCATGCAATCAAACAACTCCTTACACTTAGAAACAGCGAAACCAAAACAAAAATCTTATCCTTTTATTTTTTCTAGACTATTATATTACCACTCAAAGACAAAATAGATTAACAACCTTAAATAATAAGTTAGTTTTTTTTTTTAAAAAGGCTCATTAGTATAGTTAAAAAAAATCGTATTTTAAAAATAGATGATGTTACTTTTGCTCATTTGGTGTTAGTAAACGAAATCATTATAAGGGACTTCAAGAGAATTTGTAGAGTTTAAAATCGTAGTTGATTTCTAAATGATGAATCTAATATTTTTCCATCATTTCTGTTTTCAAATTTCAATCAACCAAATGGGCCATAACCATAACTAAAGATCATAAACAGCACCTTAATCAAATAAGCAATACTGAGAACACAGAACAACAGCCACGAATCCAAAAGTTTATGCATAAAAAAATAAAAATTTGTCTCCAAATGAATAAAAACAATTAAAAGTTAGGATTCATAAGCAAGATTAGACTCCAGATCTGGTAAGATAAACACGCAAAATTTCTAAAATTAAACTTGAATGAAACCACGGCACGATATCAATATAACAGACATCAGAGATTACAAACAAAACATTTATCCGATTCCAACTCTAATTAGTCACCCTCCATCCACTCCGCTCAAACAAAACAAATTACCGAACTGTTTACACGTCCAAGCTGGAAAGGACACAATCCGAAACGAAGAAGGATGAGTAAACATAAAAACGATGTTGAAGAGAAACAAATTTACATATACGCAAGCAGTACAACTGGAAAGAGAAAATAAAAAGCTTCAAAAAAAAAAACACGATTTCGTTTTCCTGCAGAAAAAATCGTCCACAACAAATCCTGATAATTCAAATCAGATCATAACCCCATCGCCCATATTTCAATATTAAAGGAAAAAATTGCGGCAGAACCAAACAAATTGCTGCAAAGAACACAGCATATACGATTCCTTTCAAGCTGAAAGGGTAAATAGAAGCTCAAACGCCATAAGAAGAAAACGAAGCTAGAAGACGAACCTCTTCAACACTCCCTACTCCATCAGAACTCCACTGGAAAGCACAGAGTGGGCAGAGATGCAGATAAGAGGGAAGAAGTTTAGATGATGATTGTGATGAGTCTTTCGCAGCAGGAGAAAGGCTACAGTGCGCGCCTCTATTTCTCTATCTCTCTCTCTCGCCTTCGACTTCCGTTGGCTTTTGGACAAGATGATGTGAGATTGAGAGCAAGTGAAAAGCGTTAGAGTAGCGGTGGAGGTAAAAAAGGAAGGGGAGCTTACCGCAGTCAATACTAACCGTAGTTAGATTTCGGCTGGTGAATCTTACCGCGGTGCTGAAGAAAGTGTGGGATCCGCGTCCGTGCGTTTTGCGCTGGCTGCGTTCGTGAAAACGAAGCATTTCTGCATTTTTTTCTGTTTTACATTTTAGCCGCCGCTAAAAAACTATCAGCTAAGATGGATTTAAATAATAGAAAAACTTAGCATTTTATTTACATATATATTATAAAAAATTTATATATTTTTATACATAATATTGTGAAAACGAAGCATTTCGGCATTTTTTTCTGTTTTACATTTTAGCCGCCGCTAAAAAACTATCAGCTAAGATGGATTTAAATAATAGAAAAACTTAGCATTTTATTTACATATATATTATAAAAAATTTATATATTTTTATACATAATATTAAAAGTTTACATTTATTAAAAAATTATATTAGAATATTT